TATACATTTTCATTGTCTTTACAATATACAGGTTAGTATAATTTTAAATAAATTTTTGCATATAATAATGCTAACTCTGTAAAAAATATCAGTAAAATAAAAATTAGATGAGCACAAGTAATTTATAATATTATCTAATTTTATAACTAGTTTTATAGGTAGCTTATAAGCAAATTATAATCTAGGCAAGCAATTGATGATTAAATTTTAACAAAAATTATACAATATTAATTCTATTTTATCTAAGATTATACAATATCACATAAATGATTCAGTTAAATTTTATAAAACCCAAGTAGAGCTTTTTTTTGAGTTTAATTTTCAAATTTTTATTATTTTAAAAAAAAAATTTTTAAGTTTTAATTTTTTAATCTGGCTGAGTTATAAAAACTAAAAAAATAATTTTGTATAATCTTAAGTATATTTTTCTTAAATTTTACAAATTTAAAGTAAACATATACCAATATAATATATTTTTATATATAAAATATATTTACTTAAAACATAAATATAGAATTAATTAATATAATTTTAAGATTAATAATATTTTTTGAATTTTATATTTTAGCACCTATACATGTGGCACACCCCTTAAGATCTAGTGTAATGTAAAATCAAAACAATAATCAATTTGTTAATTTAGCATTAGGGTGAGTGTTAGATTAGGGTTAGAGTAATGAGTTTTAACAAAAGAATTCTAACCCAAAATTTTGAGTAAAATTTTTTTTGTTAGAATATGAAAGGTAGTTTTATAGTCAAAATTTTGAGCTACAAGTGATTTTTTAGAAACATCACTATTTTTTCAATTTTACATTACACCTGATTTTATAATCTGATTGGTTGATCAGATAGATGCGTTATAGCGCAGGTGTGTTAAATTATATAATCCTTAATAAAATTTTATAAAATCTTATATTTCACAAATTTTTATTAATTAATTTTACTTTATGAGTGGGATACCACCCATAATATAATTATATTATAGGTGGTATCCCACTTAGGTTAGATTATATAATCTAGATACTGCTATATAATCCAAATATCATTATATAATCTAGATATCTTTATATAGTCTGAATAGCACTATATAACCCAAGCACCACTATATGATCTAAATAATATAATCCAATAAACACTATATAATCTAAATATGTAATCTAATTACTACTATATAATCTATATATTCCCTATATCGGATATCTATTTTATGTTCTGGCTTTCTCTTTGAACTCTTTCTGATATTTTTATTTTTCCACTATATGATCTAACTACCGCCCATTATTTAATCTAACTATCAGCATGTGATTTAAATATTGCTATTTCCTTCTTGTTCCTAATCTATTTACACATCAAATTCTATATTGTTTATACTGGCCTTCTATACCTGTTTGGATACCTAGTTGAGGGTGCTGGCCCTCTGTGCCAGTCTGAGTACTTGATTCTATATTGAGATACTTACTTTTTGTGCCTATTTTGTTGCCTTTCTAGATGTTGAAATAGTGTAAAAAAAAAGGGGACAGGTGGTGCAGTAATTCAAGTAAATCTGCGATTAATTTTGGCCAGCTCTATAGTATAATTTTGGCTAATCTTTAGAACACGTAATTTTAAGATCCAACTCGACACCATAGTAGTAACCCAATAGTGCCTAGAACTATTACGGTACTGGCAGAAAACTGGTAGAGAACCAGAAAGGTTCTATTAGTTCCAGTTTCAGATCACTTCTTGGTTGCCGAGTTATTGTGTCTAAAGTTCAGCTAGAAATTATGCTATAATGCTGGCCGAAATTAACAAAATTTATTGCGCCAATCACATGTTCAGTTCCTCGCCAGTTCCAGGCACTTTTCTGTCACTTTTCTGTTACTTTCAAGTAACTTTCAAGGGCCTGGTTTAGTAGTTAGTTGGTTAGAGAATCAGAGGTGTGATAGATATTATTATAGCCAGCCCATTTAATTGCCGGATGAGGCCGAAGTGCTGAATTTGCAATCTATTCACTCACTTTTTGATTGCCGGTAAGGCACAAAATGCTGATGTTGTGCCATTCTTGCAATCCTGTCCATAACCATTTTGATTGCCAAGGATAAGGCATGAAGTGCTGAATTAGTTTAGGCTATATTGCTTTCATACTTTTTTTCATATATTCTCCTGAACCTTTTTGCTTTTCTGACCTCTTTTCTGCCTATTGGCGGTAGTACCCCAAGTTGTAATTTCTTATTTTTTTTCCTATATATTAATTCTAACTTGGGGTACTACCAATTTTATATCTTATTTTTTGCTCCTGCCTTTCTAGAACTCTTTCCTATATAGTTACTACTCTGAAATACTTTAGGATACTACCACATTGACCACTTTGGAGTACTACCACATCAATCACTTTGGGGTACTACCATATCAATCACTTTGGGATACTACCATATCGATCACTTTGGGATACTACCACATCGATCACTTTGGGGTACTACCACATCGTTTACTTTCTTTTGGCTTGGTGCTGGGTACTACCACTAATCCAGTAATTTACGTACATAAAAAGCATTCTCTTTCGAGTAAGTGTAAAGACCTTTTACTCTAAAGAGGTTTAGCTGTTCTCATATCCTGTTTTTCCATTCAATGGGTTATTTGCTTTGCCTCGGATGCCATCTTGGATGCCACTCTGGATATCATGTTGAATGCTGTCTGTACATTCATATTGATAGCTCATGATCGGGTTATATACGTACTGAGTTTCAGATGAATTGGGCATGTCCTCCAAAAGCATAATTTTTTATTTCTTTTACTATATATAATTCTACCTTTGGGGGACACCAAATTTACCAATTTTATACTATGTTTGGATTTCTTCTCACATAGTCACTACTTTTAGATACTACTATATCAATCACTTTTGCTACAATAGTTTGCTGGCGAACATGATTTTTTATTTTAAAGATTTGGAATTTTTATGTAGATTTATATTTGTTTCTTTCATATATATTATCATGCTTGCACAAAAAAAATTTGGGCCTGACCCCAGTGAAATAAATAAAGCAATTAGGCTCTTCTCTGGTTTAGCCAATCTTGATTTTAAGCCTGGTTATAATAATCATATATACTTTCAATATCTGTCTAATAGTAAAGATGATGTTGCTCTTCTAGATACTTATTATTCTGAGAAAATTTTTGATAAATATATTATTTGGGTTGCAGGTAAGGGATTTACAGTAGTAAATCACCTATCTGAAGTTTATGGGTTACCTGATGCTCATGAATGCATTGACAGAAATTTGCCTTTTCGCCTCATTCTGGACATCGACGCGAGACAGTATCCTGATCCCATGAATCCTGAACTCCCTTCTTTAGATGGAAATAAAATTTCTCGTGAAGATTTATTATTCAGAATCTTAATTGCCTGTGCTGATATTATATATACTGATTTAAAACATCTTATAACTTTAAATGCTTTTGTATTAGCTAGTTCGTCTAATGCTAATAAATGCAGTTTGCATATTGTGTACCCCTATGACTATTTTATTGATTATAGAGATCTTAGGAGTTTTGTAGAAAAAGTTGCCGATAGAGTTGGGAAGCCATACTCAGAATTTATTGATATAAGACTCTATAAATCTTGCCTTAGCATCATAAAATGTATCATGGATACGGGCTACCATCTTCACTAGATTTTATTTTATATACTAGAAAAAAAAATAATAATCTTCAATAAATATTAATGTATATCAATGTATGTATATCAATACTTTTCAATGTGTATTAATATATTTCAATACCCACTAATGCATATTAATAGTCTTCAATATATATTAATATATCACCAATACATATTAATACTCTTCAATATATATTGATAAATCATCGATGCGTATCAATATATATAGTATTTATAGAAAAAAAAAATAAATTGCAATGTATTTTTCTTGCTATATAATCATACCAAGATTATGCCCAATGTGCATACACTGAAAGATATAAAAAATAGAAGGCATAGGCTAGGAAGTGTATATGAGCAAGAGCTCGAAAAAAAATTAAATTTAGCTATTGAATATAACTCTAAAATTAATGATTTTAGTAAAGGGTTGCAGGCTAAAATTTCAGAGTATTTAGAGCAAGAGGAAAAGTTTTACCAAATCAATGCTGTTGTTAAAAATAAAATTAGCCAAATAAATGCAGTTTGCATATTGTGTACCCCTATGACTATTTTATTGATTATAGAGATCTTAGGAGTTTTGTAGAAAA